ACTAAATCTGCATTTATGAATACTTAGATCCAGCTGTGAAGTTGATTGTTTTTGTGTGTGGTCTCTGTAGGGTCCAATGGGGGAACAAGGAGAGAGAGGAGAGCCTGGAGCAGAGGGATATAAGGTAATTACTGCAACTTATATACCTTGCTTCTAAATTTGAATAGGCTTCTCTGTGGTTCTACTCAATTTCAAATGAAAATAAGCATCATTTACATAGCTATTAATAGAACTGTCTTATTTTTTAATCCTAGAAGAAGCCTAGCTCTACTTTCTGTTCCTTCTCCCTAGAATCTTCTTTGTTTCTTCCCATTGCCGCTTTTTCCCGCATCGTTGTTCAGATCTCAGCTGAAATGTTACCTCCTCAGAGATCTTCTCTAACTGCCCTAAAATAGATCTACAACTATTACTTTCGATCATACTACTTGATTTCCTTTATGACATATTGTGCTATATTATCACCTTTTTATACATTTGTTTCTTTATTTATTGTCTGTCTTCCTCCACCAAAATGTAAGATCCATGAGAATAAAATCTTGTCTCTGCTTTTCATCATTATACACCCAATTTTTAGAACACTAAGTTCCTGGTATATAGTAAGAATTCAATAAAGAGTTGTCAAATGGCTGGATAAATGCCATTATACTCTCAAGATTTAAGTCAGTTCTTATTCTCTTCCATTCCTTAGAAGGATTTATAAGACCAACTTCATCAACTACAATTATATTAGACTATATGTAGAACTTATTCAGTGTTATTTTTTAGAATCACATTTGTATTGAGGATGTTCTGTATTCCTGCCTTATATCTTTTCCCTCTCCATTTACATTGTCAGTTGCTAAACAAAATGGTCATCGGCTAACTCTGTGCCTATAGATCCTGTCTTATTCCTTCCTTCATAACATTCTCTGACCGCCTACAACATTATGTAATGTTTATTTACATAAATCCTATCTGTCCTTTATAATTTCACTCAAATTCCCTTTTCCTCTGACTCTAGCAGTAATCTTGCTCTCTTCTGTAGTCCTATAATATTATTGCTTATATGAGTCATTCAACACAAATATTTTACCATCTTCTGTTGCTAACTTTTTTTGGCTAATTGTTCTTTAATGAGCAGCTGGGTGTCTTAACTCCGTGGTGTGAATGTGACTTCTTTCTTTCTTGAAAAATAACTAATTATGAGCCCTGTGCATACTAGGCTTCAAATAATGAATTGATGGGTTAATTGATTTGATACATCTCTCTGGATCACTGTCTAGATCCAGAGTTCTAGAAAATGTTCCAGAACATTTTCATCACTTCCAAACGGAAGCCCCATTCCCATGAAGCACTCTCTATTCCTTTCTTCCAGCCACTGGCAACCACTATTTTTTATGTCTGTATGGATTTTTGCATTCTGGATATTTCATATGAATGGAATCATCTAATATATAGGCTTCCGTGTCTGGCTTCTTTAATTTAGCATAATATTTTAGAGGTTCATCTCTGTTGTAGAATGTATCAGTACTTCATTCTCTTTTATAGTCGAGTAATAACTAAGCTTTTTAAAAACACTTTTACAGTTACAAACATCTTTACAATTGTGGTGAACTCATGATTATACTGTAGGAGAGAAAAATGGAATGGATAATGCATATTTTGCTTCTTTTGGTTGTGAACTCTTGGAAATTTTTAAAATTCTTCTCACTATCCTTTGTTCTTTTTGTTCTTGAAAAAACTTAGAATGACAAAAGTCAAATGTCTTGCTCATTATTATTAATAAATACTTATATATACTACCACACTTTATGTGTTATGTATAATAAAATTTCTACAAATTGTGTCTTGGTCATTCAGCATGTGTTGTGCATCTGCCGTGGGCCAGAAGTAGAGCTAGGTGCCATGGATATAACACTGGACACCCAAAACATAGTCCCTGTCCCTGCGGACATCACATATATGAGACATAGAATAAGAACATTTAATCAGTATAAAAATAGACACAGTAAATCATAGCTGTAAAATATGTACAATGATGACATGTCAACTAAAAATAAAAGGAAAAACAATTATGACTGTCATCCTGCAAAACTATACATCACATAGGTCAAGATAAATTCATTTTAGGCTTGAAAGAACCAGAGACATGGAGGGAATAAGCATGTTATCCTGTCAACATCCACTTTTTAAAGGTATGAACAGAAACACATGGATACCCAAGATTAAGTCAAGCTAAACCTATACAAGACAAAGTTCCAGAAATACATTGAATAAATTACGCTGTATCTCAAACTCCTTTTTACTTAGGTTTGGCAACGGCCATAGAATTTTTTACACACAATAAAATAACTAAATCCCAACTTGGCCTTCACTCCTTAACATCAGACATACATATCCAAATAGCTATTGGACATCATCACAGACACCTCAAACTCAGTATGTCCCAAGCCGTAGCTAGTATCTCATCCTTTGCAAATTTGACCTGATCCTCCTCTTATTATATCCTCATTTCAGTGAATAATACCACCACCCACTGGGATGTCCAAGCCAGTAAATGAATTCTCTCTTCTCTCTGTCTCTCCCTCCCTCTCACTGCCCCCTCTCCCCCAGACACACACTCATCTCTCACATTCAGTTGGTCACTTCTTCTGATTCTTAAATATTTCTGGAATCTAACCACTTTGTCCTATTTTATTCCAAGCTCTCATCATTTTTTGTCTGAATTATTTTCATAGCTTCCTAACTGGACTCCCTGTCCCCAATCATAGCTCTCTCTGATCCATACTCTACTTAGCACGTTCTATCAGATGAGCCCCTATTTTCCATGCTCTTCCTTCTGCCAAAATGTCCTCACTTAACCACTTGGACCACCCATTCTTCAAGATTGAGCTTATCATCACTTCCCTTACAAAATCCTCTCCAAGCTTCCTTTTGCCATCCAACTCACCCCATCACTAATATTATCCAGCAAATTCCATCTACTTTCCGTAACCTTTTCTGCATAACTTTATAATAACATTTACTATAGCATATTCAGTTTTTACCACTACAGAAAAATGGTCATTATTAATTTTTATTGGGATATAATGGACTAGGGTAACTGTAGTGAAACTCCTAGAAAGCAGATCTGTCTTTGTGAGATTTGCATTCAAACTTCACAAAGCCAAGAGAGTCAGCTGGCTAATCTATATCATTCTGAAAAAATCTCTGTAAAACTAAAGACAGGGCGGTAGCAAAGCCATAATTTGCCATGATAGTTCTGAGTTTTGTAGTTTGCTCATATGCTCACTCTCACTTCACTTTGCAACTCTGACTTTTCACCAGCCACTTGTCTCCTGAATCCTGTTTGATGAGTTGTCATATTTATTTGTAACAGGTTCCCTCTTAATTGACCTGATTCTGTTATCTGCTGACTCTGCTCATGTTTTGCTAAGGGTCATATGCAGTAATGATTTTCTCTTTAATGTGGCCATGTGCTATATAGAAAGCTTTCTGAACTAGCTGTTCTCTTTTGCCACTATTCACTTCCTAAAACAGGATTCATTTCCTTTCTCAGGAAGTTGAAACTTAAGACCATAAACATTTGCCTCACAGAATGCAAATAAAGAAGCCTTCAATTGACCTTCCTGTGAGAATAAATATTGTTAGCCTATATATGCAATCCTATCTTTGCCTAGCCCAGGAAAAGGAGAGGAAAACTGTCTTTCCAAAGGCATTCTTTCTGTAATATACAAAGAGTAGGAAGAAAGGAATCTGAGTGAAGAGCAGGGAAGGGGATGAAGAGATTACATGTGGAATTCTTCCTGCATTACTCTCACCTGACATGCTCCTGAGTTGTTGCTAGTTTCTGTTTACACACTTGAAAAGGGAAATGTGGTAGGTCAGCATTCCTTCTTTGGAGAGCTAAGGTGATGACAGATTGCTGAATGTCAAAGCCACTTGATATTTTATATAGTAACTGTTCCCAGTCTTCAGCCCAGTAAATCTACTATCCAAGCAACTGTGAACTTAATTTGTAAAAGCGGAGACCATAGTATACTTTCATAGGGGGAATAGGTTGAAAAAATAAATTTATTCTCAAACTCTTTATTCCTTTGGTTATTGACTGTATTCGTTTTCTGAGGCTACTGTAACAAACTACCACAAAATGGGTGGCTTAAAACAACAGAAATTTATTCTCAGTTCTAGAGACCAAAAATTCAAAATCAAGGTGTCACACTCCTAGAGAGAGTGATTCTCCAGGGAGAATCCTTCCCTGCCTCTTCCCATTTCTGGTGGCTGTCAGCATTCCTTGTGGCTATGTCACTCCAATCTCTGCCTCTGGCCTTCTCCTCCGTTGTTTGTGTCAGTCTCCCTCTATGTTTCTTATAAGGCCCCCTGTGTGGGATTTATGGCCCATGTTGATAATATAGGATAATCTCATCTTGAGATCCTTAACTTAATGACATCTGCAAAAACTCTTTTTCCAAATAAGGCCACATTCACAGATTCTGGGGATCAGGACAGAGACACATCTTTTGGGAGGCCACCATTCAACTCGCTACATTAACTCACATTAAAAAAAAAAAAAAACCCACCCTATACATGTTCTCAATCATCATAATATCCAGCAGCTATTATGTTGCATCCTATTTCCAAGAAGAATCATAATCTCTATGATATTTAAATTGAGTTTTGCAACACTTTGCTACCGTTGTAAGTAATAGTATCCTAGTCTCTTAAATTATGTCTCTGCTTACTCTAATAATATAATCTTTTCCATTCCTAGGGTCATGTGGGTGTACCAGGATTAAGAGGTGCCACTGGACAACAAGGGCCCCCAGTATGTTTTGAAAACATTCTTTGTAATTCTGGCATTTTTAAAAAATTATCATTGATATAACTTATTTCGTCTCTGCTTCATATATGATTTCTGTTTTGGTTCCAATTAAAGGGCCAGCCAGGCAACCAGGGTGAACAAGGACTAAAAGGAGAGAGAGGATCTGAAGTAAGTTGAAATTGTTTAAGACAATTTGAGATTATTGTTAGCTTAGACAGTAGGGGCACAAGGAATTGCTATTGTAATTCAAATGATCACTCATACCTCCAGAAAAGGGATCACTTTAGGCCTCTGAATAGAGTGTTTATCAGCAATTGTGCTAAAACATAATTATTGATTGATTCATATGTTTTTACTATTATCCAAATTTTCCTTTACTACCAGCCTATTCTGGCTTCATAAAAATTGCCTAAGGTTGTCCCAAACTCAGTCTCTTCTTGAGGTTTCAAACAGAAATACCAACAAGCCTTAAAAACAGCATTGTAGAGAAAAACATATCAATCAAACCTATATAGTTGTTGTAGAAAGTGTTAAAGAAAAAAATTATCCAATGATATTTGTTAAAGCATGATAATATTCAGGACTATTGTGATAGGTACAGGGATCACTGCAATGGAATTTTGCAGGGGAAAGAGAGCCTGGGCTCAAATCCGAATATAGCAGTGGGCAAGTGGGAATTTATAGCCTAGGAGCAGAGCAGGTATCAGTGAATAGAAAATTACTCAGAGAAAACATCATGGGTAAGGGAAATTCTGGTTAAACCAACCTAACAAGATTCTTGTTGAAGACAGGACAGGGTGATCAGACATCACCTGGGGAATGGTAGAGGATTAGATATCAGATATCAAGGGTGATCAAGTATCAAGGGTGGGGATTCTTGCTAAACTGATGTAGCAGCATTCTTTTTGTTTTTTTTTTTAATAAAAAAAATTGTATTAGAAGCATTCAGAATGTCAACAAAACAGCTGCAACTTTTTTTTTGCAATTACAGAGTGGTATTCAGTTAACAGAACAACAATTATTTCGTATAAGCTGCTTCAGAGACAACTGAAGATGAAAAAACTACCATCCCCATGTATAACTAATTTGTGCTGTACACCAAAAAGAACCTGCTTTAAATTTCCATGCCAATTTACAACCCCCATACTGTACCAGGCAAGGTTAGTGGCTATTGAAAATACCACCAGGACAGGGCTAGCTAAAGACACATTCGGTAGTGTGTTAACTATACAAAAAAAGACACTGTACAGTTTAAAAACAAATCTTACACAGCCTACATTTCAATTTTTTTCTTTAAAAGGAGTGAGTTGTGTACAGGGGGGTTAAATGCTTTATAGACAAGAAAAAAAAAACTGCGCTAGAACCAACTTATTCATCATCATCTTCTTCTTCATCTTCATCTTCTTCATCTTCCTCCTCCTCTTCATCCTCTTCATCTTCCTCATCTTCCTCCTCTTCCTTCTTTTTCTTGCTTTTTTCAGCCTTGACAACTCCCTTTTTTGCTGCATCAGGCTTTCCTTTAGCTCGGTATGCAGCAATATCCTTTTCGTACTTTTCCTTCAGCTTTGCAGCCTTCTTTTCATAAGGCTGCTTGTCATCTGCAGCAGTGTTATTCCACATCTCTCCCAGTTTCTTTGCAACATCACCAATGGATAGGCCAGGATGTTCTCCTTTGATTTTAGGGCGATACTCAGAACAGAACAAGAAAAAGGCCGATGGAGGCCTCTTGGGTGCATTGGGATCCTTGAACTTCTTTTTTGTTTCCCCTTTAGGAGGGATATAGGTTTTCATTTCTCTTTCATAACGGGCCTTGTCCGCCTTTGCCATATCTTCAAATTTTCCTTTCTCTTTAGCAGACATGGTCTTCCACCTCTCTGAGCACTTCTTAGAAAACTCTGAGAAGTCGACTGAAGCATCTGGGTGCTTCTTCTTGTGCTCCTCCCGGCAAGTTTGCACAAAGAATGCATATGATGACATTTTGCCTCTCGGCTTCTTAGGATCTCCTTTGCCCATGTTTAGTTATTTTTCCTCAGCAAGGCACAGAGTCGCCCAGTGCCCGTCCGGCTCTCACTTGCCCCGGCGCAGTCTCTATGGAGCTCAATGTACTGCAATCTGTAGCAGCATTCTTTACTAAAACTGGATTTTACAAGGAAGTGCACAGATGGGCCTAAGAGAAGGTTTGGGAGCCTGACTAAAGTCTGGCCAAGCAAAGAATCTTTGTCACAGGGTAAGGGTGGAGATAGTGATTTGCCGATGAGACACAGACTCATAATTGGTTTAAAAGGTATTTTTTCTTAAGAAAAATTAATTATTTGTTTTCAAGCAAATGAAAACTCTGTTGGTTTATTGAATTTAGCCTTCTCTTTTCCTATGCACTGATAAACGTTGCCTCAACCTTAGTAACTTAGTAACTGGCTTTATCATTTGCATCTCCAATTAATTGTTGTCCTGCTTTTCATGGCATTCTGATGTGCTATTGATTTTAAATGAAATTCTTAAGAAAATGTGCTGTAGTTTAATAATAAATTAGATGAGGATGACTAACATGTAATGAATTTGAGACCATGTTTCTCCTAATTTGTTGATTAGTCTTCAACCATACTTGTGTTTCCCACTTGGTGGGAGTAAGTAATAAAATGAAGTGGAATCAGATATAATAAATAGGCATTCACTCACCTAGTAGCCATTTTGAATAGTCTTGGCATCTACTCAGTAACTTCCTGTCAGGTTCATTAAGAAATAAGAAATAAAAATATCCCATATTAGGCAAGCCTCAACAAGAAAACATGTAGAGAAATAAAATAGTTGCTACATTTATTTAGAATTTTTAATATACAAATTAGAAAAAGTCATGGAAAAAACTGTGAACCTAAAGCACTGCTACAGCTGTCAGGCTGCTTCCTTATGTTTGCATTAAGTGCCTGAGAATCCAAGTGTTCTCCAAGATTCGATCCTAAAATATCTAATTTTTTACAATTAATACTTTAATATTTGCAAGTTTTGTTTTTCCTTTTTGACATATATCAGGAGGAAGAAATTTTCCGATGCTTATATATGTTAAAATTATGCTAATGAAAATCAAATTCTCTTATTGGACAGCTGGCTCTCCAGCCTATCCAGTCAGCTGTTCCTGGGTGTTAGAGCTGAAAGGTGCTAAGAAGTTATAGTTAAAATTCTGTATAATTCAGGGGAACTAGTTCTTTCCTACTTTGGTCAATGCTGGCAAACAACCCAAGCACATATTGAAAAGCCTCTTAGAATTTGAAACAGTATTAATTACTACAAGAAAAACCATTGACTGTGTATAATTCACTAGGGACAGCTTCAGTGGCCAGGTGAGCCCTGTCCAATTGCTGTCATCTTGTTTTTACAAAGCTTTAATTTTTTTTTTTTTTTTTAGATTTGGAAATAGCCCTTTAAAATCATCTGAATAATCCTCTCATTTTTCAGTTGAAGAAATTTAAATCCCAGGGAGATCATGAGTTACATAAAATCACAGAACTAATTAGCAGCAGAACTAACTAGAAACTTTATTTCCTGGCTCCTATTATTATATAAAAGCCTTCTATTATTTTTTTTTTATTTCAGCATATTATGGGGGTACAGATGTTTAGGTTATGTATGTTGCCCTTGCCCCCCCTCCCCCACCAAGTCCGAGCTTCAAGCATGTCCATCCCCCGGATGGTGTGCATCGCACTCTTTATGTATGCATATACCCGTCCCCTCCTCCCACCTCCCCCCTGCCTGACATCCGATAAATGTTATTCTTATATGTGCACTTATGTGTTGATCAGTTAATACCAATTTGATGATGAATACATGTGGTGCTTGTTTTTCCATTCTTGGAATACTTCACTTAGTAGAATGTGTTTTAAATCTTTTGTAAATTAAGTGAAATATGATTGATTTTATGAAACCAACCAATTCATTTATTGGGCAACTATAAAGAAAAAGTTAGAGCAAGTCAAAACCAATTACAGAACCACTATGTTTTTAAAAAGACTTTTGTAATGCAAATATGAGTGAACTTTCCTATAATGGCTTTCAAAGACCAAGACTCAAGCCAAAATCTCCCAAAACTAAATTCCAGATATTAGTGAATTGAAATTTCTTAGTTAAAAAGAGAATACTTCTTGCTTAACTCTCTAAATCTATGTTTGCTTTATAAAGCTGCTCTCTCAAAAGAAGTTAGAACCAGCAAAGTATTGCGATAATGGTCCTTCAGCTTCATTTAAACAAAACAAACAAACAAACAAACAAGAATTTGAACTAACATGGTATATTTTAAAATGTCCCTTAAGAACCAGACTACTTTATCTAGTAGTCTGAACAGAAGGCTCTTTGAATGAATCTGATTTCAAATGGGCCACTCTATATATTTTTCAATGCTAGCAAAGCAAAAGAGAAAGCACAATTTTACATATACTCTAAAGACTAAATAAAATTCATTTGCCTTTCCAATTATGAGAACAGAAAATCTGTTCATTGATTTATGAGGTACTTATATTTAAATAAAATAATATGACTAAGTTAAGTTTGACAGTAGCATAGAATACTTCTACCTTTATCGTATTTGAATTTAGGGGATTGGTTGAAAATTGACTTCTTTTTCCTTCTTATGGTACCAACTCAATCAATCATCTACTAACACCTTTTATGACAACGTATTTTCTTTGCCTTTGATCCAGTCTGTAATTTCCTACTGAACAGACCACCTCTGTGCAGGATTAATGTTTAGTAATGTTTAGCTCTTGGTTTAGTTATAAGACTACCCAGCAATTCCAACTTTCAGTTTTTTTAAAACGCATAAATTCAAAAAGGCACTGTCTTGGTCAGTTCAAGATGCTATAAGAAAGTGCCATACACTAGGTAGTTTATAAACAACAGAAATTTATTTCTCAAGGTTCTGGAGGCTGAAAGTCCAAGATAGGGTACCAGCATGGTTAGGTTCTATAAGGGTCCTCCTCCATGTTGCAGACTGCAGGCTTCTCATTGGATTCTCACATAGCTGAAATAAGGAGCTCTCTGGGGTCCCTTTCATAAGGGCACTAATCCCATTCATGCAGATTCCACCTTCATGACCTCATTATCTCCTCAATACCTCTTACCTCCTAATACCATTCAACATTACCATTGCTGTTAGGATTTCAGCAGATGAATTTGGGGGCACAGAACATTCAGTTCATAACAGGTAGCAGTGTTCTATACTTCGGTAATCATATGTATTTAAAACCTCCATAGTAGGACTATGGTTTTTCTAGCCGGCCTATGTTCTTTTAGTTATGGTAACAATAATTATAATAAGGAAATCTTTCCTGGATCAAAAGGGTAAGAATAGCAGAGACCATACATAGTCTTACTTGTTAAATGCTTCTAGTGTTCAATAAATTTTCCATAATTCTCCTACTATAATTAACAAAATATACTGTTAAAATATTTTTCATATTCATAATTTTTCTTTACTGTTATTCTGTTGTGAGCTGCTCCTTCTTAATGCCCATCCAAGTCTGAATAGCTTTCTAGTTTTCATGATGATAGCCCAATGGATGTAGATTTCAAGATACAATATTTAACTTTTTCTGAAATAATCCCTCAAAAAATGGTCACCCCAAAACATAATTGATTTGTGATAATATGTAAATCTCTTTGTTTTTATTTTGTTATTTGAATGGTTGGAATAAAACATATGCATGTATGGTATACCATAATAAAAATACACCTTTGTTTATGTTCTTTATAATAAAACTCAACATCTGTCCTGACTGCCCATCCTTCCTGGTGGTGGGATCCTAATTGGTGGAAATCTAATCAACTGACTGCCTTTAACTCCATCCACTCAAATACCCTGCATTTGATTTAGAGTTTTGCCCTTTCACTCTCCTCGAGTTTGCAGTTACAATCTGGGTGGCGGTGGTGAGGAAAGGGAGTGGGAAGTGGGTTTAGTCTTCGGTCATCATCTATTCACACTGGCATCCACTGAAATGCACATTATCCTTTTTGGCCCCCAGTTACCATCATCCCACCATGTTGGTATCCACCTTAGCCCTCCTGGCAGAAGTTCTTTGACCTATTCTGGCATGTACAGCTATTTTCTCATCTCAAGTGCAAGGCCTCCTGCAGGCTCTCAGGGCCTTAATCTTCTGTTCTTGGCCACATGGAGATAACATTCTGATGCTCCCCACACCATGCAGGGGAATTGGGGGACTCAGAGAAGCTTTCTCAAGCCCACTGTCCTGTGTATCTCATGCAGAAATTTCTGCTGTATTGCTGACATTCAGTGTACCTTATGTGGAATTAGACAACATCTCTGTGCCCAGAACCCCACACTTGGAGTATTAGTGATTCTACCCACCCCAGGACTAGGGGGCAGGATAGGGCAGAGATCCTCAGAGATCCCTGTCAGCATCCAACAGTCTTGCTTCTCTTCTTCTCCTCCTCTTCCCTTTCCCTAACTGAAGATCTTTATATCCCCTTACATAGGAAAAATTCTCTTCCATTATTATTATATTCTAAATCTGTTATTTATGGCATAAATTTTATGACTTGAGTCCTTTGTAAGCTTGGTTTATGACACTCGAAGATAGACTTTTTAATATTTAAGGGTCAGGCTTTTATATTTGAAAAGAATGATTTTGAAACTGAAAATATGTTACCCCCATCAAGAGTTTCACTGTACTATTTTGAAATTCATAAGACAAGGAAAAGTCTATTTTGAAAATCAAAAGTGTAGAACAGATATACCTCTTTGCATTATTGTGAAGAAAAAACCACACTGGTTAACATATTTGAATGTTATCATGATTTGTAAGCTATTTAATTAGTGCTATTCAAGATGACTGAAATCAGACCTTTTTTTAACTATTTAAAATAATATTTATTTGCTTATTTTACTTTTTTATTGTGTTCTGAAAGACATATTTTACTATAGGGATCATATGTTCCAGAACTTATATATACTTCGATTAAACCCAGGTTACCAACTATCCCATTTTCTGGTTTCCTCACCTTTAGAAAGACTTTGCATTAGTGATTTTTACAGTAAGTATTATAAAATAATTTTCAGAGTTGGAGGTAGAACCCTTGATCCATATATCTCCCCAGTATCAAATTCTAATGAAGTTGGATTTTTATCTTTTACAGAAATGTTCTTTTTGTCTGTGACAGGATATGCTATTTCTTCTTAAAACATTTAAGCTCATTTTCAGAAGACGTAACATCTTCTGAAGTTGCTTCTTTTGTTGTTTTTGTTCAGTTGAATCTTTAGCACAATTTGTCTTCATATTTGAATAATTTAATATCCCATTTTGGTGGAATTATCCTGTTTGTGAGAACTTCTTATGATTTCTGAGAAATGTGTCTGGTAATGACAATATGATTCTGTTTCTTACTTGTGAACCAGGTCACTTTTTCCACATTTTTCTTCTTAAAATACTTTCAGAATGTCATCAGAACAAGGGCATGATTTGCAAGGACAAAGTTCCTAACTAGCCTGGCAGACCAGTTACTGCTGAATCAATTATGCTTTAAGACATCTCACACATGGAAAAACAAACAGTTCCGTGGGAAATAAATATCTTTTCCTTGAGTCACAAGCATGTTGTTCTCTGTGCTTCCAGAGAAGCACATTTTTAGGCTATCGGTTCATATCCCTCGCTACACTGCAAGTGCCTTGCAAGCAGGAACTTTGCCTTTGCATTCCCAGCACATAACAGGGTCCCTGATACATAATACTCAATAAATGTTTACTGAATTAAGTATTTAGCCACTTTCAAAAGGAAACAGAGGTCATTCCTGAAAGTGGGGACATTTATTAAGTAATCCATTCAGTTTCCTTTTAGAACTATGATTTAAATTCTAAAATTATAGAATTTGGAGGTAGACGGAAATTCATAGATGAGCTGGTCAGATTCTCTCATTTTCAGAAGAAAGTGACTCCCAGGAGGTAAATGTCAATCCCAATGATATACAACTAGTTAATGGCATAGCATGCAGGTCCCAGTGTTCTTTTCTATGGCTTCAGGTTAAGTAAATTTATTGCAGTCAATTGACAACTGTGTTTCCCATTTTTAGGGTCAACAGGGGAAAAAAGGAGCTCCTGGTCCTTCTGGGAAGCCTGGAATTCCTGTAAGTAACAGGCCTCTTTCATCTTTCTTGCTTTTCTCAATAGAATTGGCAACTTTAGCAAGCAAAATGTTTGGGGCCATTTATGTCATATTGGATAAAATCAATTTGTCTTGAAAAAAAATTTTAAGCCCATCCTGGAACACAGAGAGAACAAAATGTGACTATTATCTTAAAACCAAACTTGCTGTTTAAATATAAGTCCCTGCAATTGAAGGATGCTATTTTCCTGTGTTATGGAGCCCCTCCCTGTGGACTCGTCCTTCTCTCTGACAGTGAACCACTGGAAAACTGGGAACTTGGAATCATCAATAAGTGAATGGTGACAAAGGTCAGAGATCCTTAAGCAAAATTAAAAAGACATGAGCTAGGATTCTAATTGTAGGACTCGGCCTCTCATTCTCCTGGCAAATAGAACAAAAAGTATTAGAAACTTTTTATAAAATCCTTTCATCACAACAAGATTAATTTTTACCTCAGCCATCAGTTTCCTCCTCTGACCAGGTATATATGTGTTGACTGACTTGTTAGCAAACACTTCCTACTGGTGTCCCTTAGCCAAGGCTTAGATGCCTGCTTTGGGTGACCTGTATTGGTTCAAAAAATTAGAGAAAATGAATGTAAATTATAAGCACATTCAGATCAGAGATTCTTACAGATAAAATTCAGTTTCCCAAGAGTAGAATCAAAATGTTTAGATCTTTCTTCAGTCATATGATTATCTGCTTCAAAGTGGCAACAAAAAGAGCCATAATTTGTTTCTTGGAAAAATAACACAATAAAAGGTTTTGCAGACGATGAATGACAGCTTGTATCCTAGCTGACAGGTCCATATAGCTGACCTTTTCTCCACAGCTGTATAAAGCATTGGCTGGCACAATGAGAAATACCAGAGAATTACGTGAAGGCTCAGAAAGTTACACAGTAACTTGCCAATTAGCTTAGCATCTTTGTTTAGGGAACTTTTAAGGACAGGTATCTGTTGAATCCAAATAGTAAATCATTAAGGAATACAGGAAACAGAGGAAAATTTGTCCTAGGACAAATTATAAAAATGTAAACTCCCTCCCCTTAATAAATAAAAAAAAGGTATTTGTCATTTAAACATCTGTCTAGCATCTCTCCATAATCCAAGTAATTTTTAATTATCAAGGGACTTCCAGGCCTACCTGGACCAAAAGGCATGCAGGGATACCATGGAGCAGATGGCATTTCAGGAAACCCTGGAAAAGTTGGACTACCAGGAAAACAGGGACTTCCTGTGAGTAGTGCGAATATCTCTTTGCTCTTTATTTCTTATGCATAAGTGTCTTCTTGCTAGACCATGCATATTTCTGCTGTCTTTCATAGCTTTGGCATTGGCTTAGATTAAGCCAATCATTTCTTTAATAGTTATTTTGGAATTGCATTTATGATTTCCAGGGAATGACAATGGGTACATTCTCTTGGGGATTTCATATGTAATAACCTATAGTATTAATAATTTATTCCATTTTATACATAGAAAAGCTTGTAAAGAAGGACTATAAAGAAGTAAAATTTTAGGGGCTACATTACCTGGCTGTGCTCTGAGCTCATCAAAGGTTTTGAGCCCTTTTGGAATATTTAGGTCTTGGCAGTAACTCAAGATAGGTTCTGTCAAAAATAATTTTCCTTTTACTTTTATAGATCAGTATTTTACA